GATCTCAAAAAGTAATCATATTGGTTTTTACTTTTGGTGTTTCTGCTGAGATTGATTCCAAGTTCCTTTTTCATCTAGTTGTTTGAAGTAAAGACCAAATAACTAAATCTAAAAATAACACAAAAAACTGTTGAAATGTTGGGTGGTGATGAAGATAAGACTGATTTACAGACGATCTTTTTTTCTAGAAACAGCAACTGAATACAGTAGGGGATATTATTTTTTTTCTTTATAGATCTGATCATGTATACCACAGATGAGATGTCAATAAACAAATAGACTAGTGGTCTAACAAGTGTGGAAATTCCAACATTGTCAGAAAGTAATTTGGTTGTTTCAATTGTAAATTGCATTGTCCAGAATGGTCACAAACTTTTTTGCATTTATTGAATAAGTTAAATTCTTGTCTGCTCTCATTAGAGAAGCTGAACTCAATAAGGGAAACAAAGATTGAATATGTCCCCATTCAAGATGAGTAATTAGCTAATTCCATCCATGATAAAGCAAAGAAAAATTCACATTGAATCTAAAATCTAATGAGTCAAGCACGAGAGCCTGCTAAATTAATCTTGCAGTTGGACTATGCATCAGTATACAGAACATCACACTTTCCTAAAATTGGTTAGTAATGGTCATATTAATCAGAGAAATAAGACCAGGGAGCTAAAATTTTTTCACACTATCACCTTGCTGAGATTGATAGCCTATGAATGATATTGCAGCTGAAGACCACCCCAGAGGCACTGAAATATAAATTATCTTACACAAGGTAAAACACTGCAAAATACATACGTTTAAAACCATAAATTGCACCAACCATGGAGATGCAATACTAATAATTCATGTCTCAAAACTGCTTAAATGTAACAGTGGGTATCGGAATTCTATATTAATTTATACTTAACTTTCAGACTAATTTTGGGGGGAATTTTAAATAATTGCTGTACATAAGGTTCTCCAAAAAAGTCTTCTGATTGCTCAGTTTAAATAATACCTGAGACGTTTGGCAGCGTTGTGAATAAAGTCTGCATGAAAAACTAAATTTATTGCAAATAGTAGTAAAATTTAGCTAACTACAAAGGCAATAAAACCTTAGTGCAGTTATGCATATAAATTAGATATATTTTGCATCTCCAATTTATTAAATTGCAATATTTTAATTACTTGTACAATAAATTGCATAATTATTTAATGAGAACTGGGAGTAATTATGTTAATTGTTGCTTGCCATTGTATATCAAAAAGTAGACAGTGTTTTCTTGACAAAAACATTTTGCAGAAGTATTATTTTACATGGAGGTGCTAGAGAAGGTCCATAATTAAAGTAGTGTCAAGATTTATATTTAAAAGGCTGTATTCAACTATGACTGAACTGAAGAAGTCTTTCTATTGTTTTAGAAGGTTCTTGGAGTGGATCCCTAACAAGATGAGAACTTATTAAAATTCCTAAAAATTAATTGGACAGTTCCCTCCTCCCTTCCCCTTTGTGTTCTTTCTCTTACAAAATGCAGATCCATCAAATCGTCAACAAAAGGCTTAATAAACGGGTAACCATCTTACTACCTGGTATCAGAAGCAAAGCCACCTCAAGGAAATATGGGAAGTTCTAGTTAGAAATTGCTTGTCATTGTTGCTTTCCTCAGAGATTCCTCACCTTTGCTTCCAATCAGAAAGTCTTCTGTTCATGAATTTTGTTTGTGGATTTGGTTCAGGTTTCATGGTTTCAGTGGAATAGCTGCAAATTCCAAGTACCTCTATTCAATACTGGGGTTTTTAAAACTTGGGTTTTGGGTTAGCAAGTATCTTTACTCCCAGGAAAATGTGAGATTATCTTATGAAGTTTTGTCATGCAGGGCCTTCTGAAGCCTCTTTGGCTGGACAGGCAATAGAGTTGGCACAATTTTTTAAGGGACAGTCTCTTAGTTTAAGCACTTTCTGGCCAAACCTTATGAACAAGTCTCAGGTGGAAAAATGTCTAATCACAGAACTGAATAGAACACAGGTGTGCAACAGAATTTGTGTATTGTGCTTTTGGTAATTAGGTAGAGCTCATGTACCCAAACCTACCTGGCCCATCAGGTACCAAGTTCAGGAGGTGAGTTGCGTGCAGAAATCTTTTGTCTAATTAGAAGAAGAAGAATAAGGAAAGTCCAGGACATAAGAGAAGTCTTGACTGATTATCCTCTGAAGCAAACAAATAGACAAGAACAACAAAACAGTTTTAGTGAAGTGCTCACAATTTCCCAGTTACTGGAGAAATTATATTGCAAGACTCACAATTGCTGATCTAAGCCTCCAGTGCAAATATAGTGCTAACTGCAAACTTCCTTTGGTCTCTAAGAGTTGTTGGTGCTTCAGTTGAAACACGAGAAAGACTAAGTTTTTACTGGTTTTTGGAAGCTTTAGAAATTAGAGATGCTGAACTAAGACAGGATCACCAACATTTTGAGTGATGCCTATTTTAACATTGTAGGAGTAAAGGCCAATTAAACACAGACTCATAGAATAATTCAGGTTGGAAAAGGTGGCTGGAGTCCAACCATCCTAAAATAGATCTGTCAGAATAGAATATAATTGATAAAGACTGCCAGATCTCAACTAACAGAGTAGATACTGAGTCTATTGTTAATTATTATTGGAAATGAAGAGGATACTCCATTAACTACAGTGTCTTAGAAAAGTCTCTTCCCTTGAAGTTCACATGAACACAGGATGACTTTAGTGTTTACATAGCCATATTCTATTCTCTGATTGCTTCTTTTACAAAGTTTGATCAGGAGTTGGCCCTGTTGACAGCCTGTCAGGCTTCTTATTCCTGAAGCACAGTGAGGAAAAATTCTTACTGATTTTGGCTCCTTTTACTAACTACGTCACAAACTTGGACAGCCTTACTACATTTCAACATTTAATATGCCACAAATTGATTCCTCCTGATGTAGTCGTGTACTTTTTGAAGTGTGGCCTTTATTTTCTTATTTTCTTTACCTTGCTGTTCAGCCATTTGAATTTGTCTCATCTCCCACTTCCGAATTTGTCTCTTCTCAAGTTTTTTTTTCTTATGGCACCTTCCACTGGCCTGTGCTCATAGTAGGATGTCCTTAAGTGGTCTTCATGACACTGGGGTTTTTGTTGTTTTGGTTTGTTTTTTTTTTTCTTTTAGTTAGTTTCCTAACTTTTATACCTTGAGATTGAATTTTAAATTCATCTAGGTTACAGAAAGTCTGTGAAGATTTATATCTGTAGTGGTCCATTGCTGTTCCTGAGTGCAGGGTGTTTTGTTTCTAAGTTTAATATGTTTGCTTAAGCTGTTGCTACTTCCAATCAACTGAAAAAACATCAGTAAATGAGGTAATTATTCATAAAAGTAAATGTGTGTGCTCACAGAAACCAGTATCCTAGTGGGCTCAGTAACATGTATTCCAAAGACCTTGTAGTCAAAATCCTTGTAAAGCATATATGAAAAGGCAAATCAGAAATTTTAAGGACTGGAGAAAGAGATAAGGGAATTACTAACAATGCATTTACTTTTGCAGAAGTAAAAATGCTTTCTATGGGGTCTGAGAGAAAATCAGTAACTAACAGTGGCTGGCAAAGTTATGTATCCAAATAATGTTTCTGGGAGGATGTTCTTGTTTTATTGTTTTCTAACAAGAGTTTGCAGAAGCAAAGGTTAAGTATCCTCAGTTAATGCATATTCTTGATTTACATGCACACTCTATCTAAAGACATGTAAAGTTTCTTAATGAAAATAAATCATTACAGCAGACAGAATGAACTGTAGTCCCTAATGAAATCTAGCTCGTTTGAACAAGATTGTTTGGTGTTGGGGTTTGGTTTTGGTTGTTTTTTTTTAAAGGATGGATATGAAATATTAGTCCCATTTTAATTGGGAAGGAGAATGCTACAGTTGAAAAGAAGGGAAGACTTTAGGCCTATTAAAAGCTGTAAAAGTATAATTCATTTTAACAATAATTGCAAAACCCACTGCAACAGGGAAACTAAATATTTCTGAGGAGTCCGTTAGGAGATACAGTCAACAATAATTTTAGGCTCAAGTCTGTATTGCTGTTATAAAATTCATAGAAAAAAATCAGAACATAAGAGGAAGGAAAAAAATAAAGTGAGACAATCTTTTTCTGATAAAATGTTCTTTGTTAAATACTTGTGGTAATTTTCATTTCAGCTTGAACAGATACCCTGGAGTGCCCTGTTTATCCAGCAAGATTTAAGGAATCTCTGTTTGGCAGAGAGATCAAAAGTGACAAGTATGAGAACTTAATATTTTGAAATTATTTTCTAAGTAAGTTATATAATACAGATTCCTATCGCTGTAATGAACAATTCCTCTCAATCTTTTAGCCTTGCTTTTTGTTTTGATACATGTGTCATGAAATGTTATTAATTTCTGCAGGAATGTCCTATAAGATACTGTTTATAATATTCAAACTTATGTTATTTTTATGTGCTTTCTGACTATATCAATCCAAAAGTAAAGAGATATGTAGACTACATGGCTGGTATAAAATAACTTATGCATGTAACCTGAAGTGAAGCATTTTCACTGATTATGAAATTGCAGTGGTAGCTATCAGTTGGGGATTTTTTAAAATATTTCTCTCTGCTGCAGAATTCAATAGTATTAAGTATAGCTCTTTTATTGTGTTCTCCAGTTCTTCTTTAGCCCATAAGACTGCAAAGGTCCAGGGGGGATCAGATGCTTAAGATGTACCTTATATTTCTGAGTGTCTAGCTGGGGTGGAAGTCAGCTTAAAGAAGACAGAGGTTCTCCATCAACCTGCACCTCAGGAAGTCCCCCATCATCCCCACATCACCATTGGCCAATCAGAGCTCCAATCAGTCCAGCAGTTTAATTACCTGGGCAGCCTCATCTCCTCGGATGGTGAGATTGACGGGGAGACAGACAACAGGTTAGCAAAGGCATACAGTGCCTTTGGAAAGCTTCATAAAAGAGTTTGGCAAAATAAACACCTGAAGAAAAGTACCAAGATCAGTGTTTACAGAGCCATAGTGCTGTCTGCTCTCTCGTATGGATCTGAATCCTGGGTCATCTACAGCCACCACCTGCGACTCCTCGAACGCTTCCATCAACGCTGCCTCCGTACAATCCTAAACATCCACTGCTCAGATTATGGGACCAATCCATCTGTTCTAGAACAAGCAGCAGTCACAAGCATTGAGGCCATGTTGCTGAGAACACAGCTGTGCTGGGCAGGGCACGTCTCCAGGATGAAGGACCAACCACCCCCTCCCTAAGATCTTGCTCTATGGTGAACTTGCCACCGGCTGCCGCAAGAGAGGAGCCCCAAAGAGGAGATACAAGGACTGCCTGAAACAACATCTCAGCCTTGGTCATGTTGATCACCAGAACTGGTCTACTCTGGCCTCCAATCGGGAGGTCTGCAGACACACCATCTATAACGCTGCTGATGCCTTTGAGAACGCAGCAGGATCACCCTGGAGGAGAAAAGACAACGCAGAAAGAATCGTGTCTTGCAGAATTTACCACCTCAGGAGTCTTTCTGCTGTGCCTTTTGCAACCGGACGTGTCTGTCTCGTATTGGCCTTTTTAGCCCCCAGTGTGTTTGTAACAAACATGGGTAGAGCCCTTCCCAAATCTTCGTTCGCGAAGCCTGGCCATGATATTTCTGAGTATCTAGTTGGGGTGGGGTTCTTCCAAGTGATAATAAAGCTGTGGGACTGCAACCAGTTAGTAGCATATCTGCTGTCTCGCACCTCATAAAGCACAGTTCGCTTCAGGGAATATCATCTTCAGGACAGATTACTGGTAGAGTGGGTTGCCTGATACTCCTGTGATACAAAGAAATTTTTATTTTGTCTTTCCTTTGGGAAACGAAATGGAAAAAAAGGAACGGGTAAATAAGTGTCACAGAATCATGGGGTGGTGACTCTCATGACTGGTAACTCTTTTGGTTGTTTCTAAAGTAAAAATTGAATAATGTTCTAGGTTTTAGAAAGTAAATCCATCTCCACCAAACAACATAACTATACCATAGAATCACACAGAATGAGTCTTGACAGGAGTTCTGTGTTAATCTCTGTGGGTCTTCTTGCCTCTTTTGCTCACCTTCTTGACTGTGGTAATGCATCACTCTTGAGCCTAGAGGAAATGATCCTTGTAATCCTTGAAGATTAAAGACAAAACTTATATTATCAATTTATCAATAGAATCTGGGTGATGACTCCATCGACCACAACCCTGCAGAGAAGAACTCAGGGATACTAAAGGATGAAAAACTGGAGATTTGATCCTGAGGTGGATCAAAGGGAGTATGACCAGCACACTGAGGGAGGTCATTCCCTCAGCTACTCCCTTCTGGTGAGGTTGCCTCTGAAGTCTGGTGTCCAGATCTGGGTCCCCCCAGCACAAGAAAGACACAAACCCATTCAAGTGGTTCCAGAGGAGGGTCACAAAAATGATCACAGGGCTGCAACAGCTCTTCTGTGAGAACAGGCTGAGAGAGTTGGGATTGTTCAGCCTTGAAGAAAAGTAGGCTGAGGAGACTTTATTGCAGCCTTTGAAGAGATAAAGTGATTTAGAAAAAAAGATGAAGAAATACTTTTTCCCAGAGCCTCTAGTGATAGGACAAGGGATTTAGTTGTAGGCTGTGCATAAGGGAGATGTTTTTTGCGATTAGAGTGGTGAGATGCTGGACCACCTTGCCCAGAGACGTTCTGGATTTTCCATCATTGGAAGTGTTCTAAGTCGTGTTGGAAGGGGCTGGGAACAGGCACATCTAGTGGAAAATACCCATGCCAATGACAGGGAGATTGCAAGGATCCTTGATGATCATTTCCACCTCAAACCATTCTGTGATTCTAAGTCTTGAAGTATCTTTTAAAATATATGTAATACTAAACCAAGAATTAAATAATTTTTGTAAGTTCAGTGTCACAAAAAAAAAGTGCATCTCATTTACATCTTACCTTATTTTTTGATGAATTTACCAAAACATCACAGAAAGAACTATAGTATCTAGTTTATAGGGAAGAAATACAATGCTTTATCCTGACTTTCTCATTTCAAAAAAGTGTCAGAAAATCAATTATTTTAAATCAAACTTCTCACATCAAAAATATTACAGTAAATTACTAGCTTTAAAAGAAAATCACACCAAACCCAAGATAATCTATTTCTAATACTATTTTGGAATAACTGACAGCTTAATGTTATTATTGAAAAATACTGTGGAAGCAATTTCTGAGAACTTTTGCTCAGCTGCTACATGTTTTGAAGAGGTGCAGTTGTGAAGAATGTCCATTATTGAACATGCTGAACATCACTATTATGCCATTTGTCTCTCAGTTACTTCTGTAGTGGTAAAACAGTGAAATCTCCAAGAATGGGAGAGACAGGAAAAAAAGTTATTTTACCTGATGAAAACATGAAGTCACAAAATAATCAATGTATCAAATTTTAGCTACAGAGTTCTCTGTAGTATGTGGCCTTTTTGCTATCTACATTTAGACATAAGCCCTATTTTCCTTGAAATTTGTTGCATTCCTGGTGTATATTAAATGTGTGTTTTTAACAGTTGTTGATTCAGTACCATAGCAAAGTTTTATAACATTACTATTCTTTTTGACTTCATTAGTACTTCATCATAACTTGCCAATTATACTTTGCTTTGATGGTGTTGAATAAGTCAAGAATTTTAGAGATTAGAAAGAAGCTTCTCTTAGTGTTTCATTCAATATTATTCTTGTAAAACATTAAATCAAGATTCACCCCGTTTACCATTTCAGAGTCATGTTTTCTGATGACACTGTTATGAAAATTCTATGTCATGACGACTGTCCACAGATTCCCATAATGAAGATGACATAAATCCAAAATAGTCTGCATGTCAGGTGACAAGAAACCAAGTTGTACATGTTTTGCCTTTTGGTCAGTTAGAGGATTTTAAAAGAATTGTCAATATCACTTTTATTTTGAGGGAAATGCTGTCACTGCATTCTTCTTTTCTCTTCTGCACAGGATATATCAAAAAATCCTCTCATTAGTATTGTGCCTAATTTTAATGAAGTTTCTTGTTATTTACGTTAATCAGTTGTCAGTAATTCTGAAGAGTAGTTTTAGAAACAAAACTTTTCAAGAAATACTTCTTTTGATTATGTTGAAGAGAAGATATAGTGATGCTGTGTCCTTTCAATATTTTTCCAGCTTTCATCTTTTGTGTTTAATGGTACTTGTAGGATTATCCATACACTGAAAATTTATATCAGTGTAGCAACTTTCTTTAAAAAGTGTGATTACACTAAAATATTTGTGCAAATGCTGATCTTTTGCCTGAGCCATACATAGTTCTTCTGAAAGTCTTTATATTTGTTCTTCAGCTGCTCTGTGGAACTCTGTGCTTCTGTGAATAGACTTTTTGGGCTTTTTCTACCCAATTTCAATCCAGGTCGTGTTTCTCAGAGGTGTTATAATAATAGGTTTAATTATCTTTCCAAAATATATCAATGGTACTGATGGGTTGATCTCTTTGGTACATCCATCCCATAAACATCAGCTCATCTTTCAGGAAAGTTTTTTTATGATTGAGCAGAAAATGCAAAAGAGACTGGGGTGTTTAAAAAAACCACAACATTTCCTAATCATGAGAGATTATTACAGTCTTCTGGTTGTTAACAGTACTTTCTTTGCATTTTGCAAGCTCATAAAGTTCATTGTATGGCAGTAAAAGTACAAGATTACTGTATTCTCATTTTTTTGAGAATTAAGTGAACTTTTGTGGAGGAATATAACAGGCTTCAAATCATGTAGATAGCTATTAAGAACAGATAATGTAATGTTTGATCTTTTTTGGTGGAATACTTCAAGAAAATTTCTGCCTTTATAAATGCATCTATAGGCTAAGAATTTGATTTTACTTTGTAAAAAGTTTCTGAAAAAGATTCTCTCTAAGAATTTAATGAAGATAAAGGTTGGTTTTCTAAATTATGTTCATATTAATTATTTCTAATATATAAATTATTCATTAGTAATTAAAGTTTCAACTATCAGTTGAGTTAGCTTATAATTAATTTGGAAAAATAGAGTAATGAAATGTAGTAATTAAACAAGAAAATCTTCTTATTATAATTACTAAAAAACTCTTATTTGAAAAAGATTTAGAAGCAACATATTTTCACTGACAATAAAAAAGAGTTGAAAGTTATGGCAAAATGCTTCACTTACATTTTCACTTAACATTTTAACTACCATGGATAAGTTTAAAATGTAGGTGAAGCATCTTGCCTTGGATTTTGGCTTATTTGGCACATTTAATTAAAAGTCATTTGTGATCAGTATTTGAATAGGACAACTGGGCAAACTTCAGTATGACTTTGGAAGGAAAATATCCCCAGATACATGTGAAACATTTCTAGGTAGCAATAAAGTTTGTATTTTAAGGTGAGTATTTTAATTTGGCTACAGCTATTGCAGCTTTCCAGGCCTGACTGAAAACTGAGGATACTTGGCTATCATTCTTCCAGGTCTGGACACTCCAATAAGCTAAAGGAGATCTGTGCATCCTGACAAATCCAATACATCCCATTTGTTTTCCCTTTAATTTGTTAAAATGACATAAATTGTGCAAGAAACTAAGAAAATAGACACCTCACTGCTTGTTTTTCCACTGTGATTCCTGATAACCTAATGCAAAACACTTGGTTAAACTAACTGATTTGTCTTCTTCCTGTGGTAGACTGAAATGTTGTTAGTATCTTAATCATATTATAATCATGTTAATGTCAAAATCACAGAAAGACTTTCCATTTAATCTCTCTCTGTCACTGTCTTTCTTCCCCATCCCCTCCTTTTCCTCCATAAAATCAGAAAAGAGTGTTGCCTGATTGCAGTTTGTGTTAAATTTCTTGAATTAAGTCATATGAACCCAAAACTTTTTAGCACACCTCTAATGGAACCAAATTAACAGCAACATAATGCATTCCTTCTTTTGTTGCTTTTCTAATCTTTAAAAGGCACATAAACACCAACATGAAAAGACCTTCAACTTGTTCTATGAAGTATTTTTTCTCTAGGAACCTTAACAGAGGCCATACTTGGAATTCAAAGCCAAATAAAGTTCTATTTCTTTATTTTCTATGTCAGAAGGTGTA